CTACCACTACCACCACCACCACGACGACCACGACGACGACTACTACTACTACTACTACTACTGCTGCTATGAACATCACCACCCTCACCACTATCGAGATGGTCATCATCACCGAAATCATCACCGCAAGAACATGCACCGAATTGTCACAGCTCTCACCCACTGCCACCTCTTCATCGAACTCCTGCGAAGAAAAATAGAACCCAAGACCAAAAGGCGAGGACAAGGCTATGATAAAAGGTGACGGAGCATGCCAAAGAGACGTGTGTAGTTAAGACCCGGAGGAGGCTGACCTTCACACATGTTGCAAAAAGGGCCCACAAATCATGAGCGAACGACGGGTCACCATCATCTTGCTACATAGACTCTCAGGTGCATGCACCTCTTTTTTTTTATGTACGTAGCCTTTTTTTTTGGAGCTCAAGAGCTCCCGGCCAGGCCCCTTCCGAGAATTCCCTGGCACGTAGGCTGCTGGGTGATCGCAAGCCAGAAGACAGGTAAGGTAGGCCTGGAGCTGTTCGGGGTGGACCTTTCAAGAGAATCTGGTGCACCCAAGCTCTGAAAAAAGAACTGTTAGTGAAAGTTCTGGAATTGATGGGAAACGTTCCTGGCACTGAGAGGTCCAGCCCAGTTTAGACTGATGCAACTTGGATGTCCTCCGATGGGAATTTCAGTTCTTCGGTTCTGGGAGTATCGCGAGGCATCAAGGCTTGTTATTCATATTTTTACACGGGTGAACATCCTGTCTTGTAGCTAGGAAGCTCGAAGCAGCTGCATCCACTGACTTGCCAAAGGGCACTCTGCATCACGATGCATCCCTGGGATCATGGCCACATCGTTAATTGCTAGACTACTTCGTTGAGGAGAAAAGGAAGTATTTGGTAGATACGCGGTCCCACGGCTCTCGACAGTTGGTTCTCGTCTCTCTGGATTTCAGTTGAGCCCTGGGAGGCAGGGTGTGGAGCAGTGGACTGTCTCACCACTCGTGGCATAGCGTTCCGGTTGTCGGCAGCTCCTTTGCAAGGCATCGTCTTCGGATCAGTTCGTTGGTTGACAAGGGCTCCGGCACTCCGAGGCGAAAGAGCGAGCGCATAGAGCATCCTCTGAAAGGCTTCAATGGGTTCTCTTGCGCCTGCCTCTCTTTGGGAAGCTGCGCTGTGCCTGTCTGAAGTACAACCAAGGCCTCGATCCGGCCTTGCCAACGGCAAGGCTCGGCGCCGGCCCGGAATCCTAAACCCTCAGACCTGGATCTGACAAAGTCCACCCTTAAAGGCGGCAGCTCCTTTGCCCAAGAGGCAGGTGGACGTGACCCTGGACAAGGACTCGCCTGCAAGGCTGCAAGGCTGCTTCGAGGAACCCTAAACGGCCATGAGGGCGATGATGAGTCACGGGTCCTTTGTTTCGTGCTTGCCATCATACCATGATTCGTCATCATCATCATCATCACTATCATACTCCCGCCCCTCTGCACCATCCTTACGTTTGGCCACGGGCTCAAGCAGCAGAGCGTTACAGTGGACAATGGCCGATGCTGATGGTAGATCCGTCTTTGCGCACAGATGGGCTCAGTTGGGCTTTGCGACTTATTGTGTGAGTCGCTTCTCTTGTTACACAATGCTGGACCCCAAGAACACAACTCGTCTCATTTCCGAACAGGTGTAAACACTTTCAGTGTATGGACGGTGGAGCGGCGTTCTCGCCCTCTTGTCCGCGCTTGGGGATCCCGTTGGAATGCAGGATGAGCAAAGTTTTGAGCATGATTATGTTGATTATGGCGACGATGATCGCGAAGATGTCGGTGCATGTGATAATGCTTTATTTCCATGATCATGATCTCGAACGTGGTGCCATAGCCCTTGAACGTGCCATAGATACTGTATGTGCCAGCAGCTTTCATGGAGCAGGAGTCGCTGAAGCCAGCGGACACGTGCTGGAATTGTGGCAACAGGTGCTTCAGCCGGCTATCGTTGAAAGGGGTATCTGTCAGACATCTGCCGCGTACTCCACACTGACTGTAGAGAAACGAGTACCTAAATATGGCGATAGCGCAGAGAATCGCACAAATACATGGTTGCAGCAGCTGCAGCTACTAGTAGCAAGAATAGTAAAAGCAGCTAGAAACAAAGAACTGTAGGCACGGCAAGAAGTGTTGCCACAGCCACAACGATGAGCACCGTAAAACTCGCAACAGAGGTACTGGGGAGCAGGGCGCGTGCGAGTGTAGCACAAGTAGCAATACTTCATGATCGTAAACAGCCTAACACTGCAGGAAACAAGCAACCGCGGACCGCAGTGACAAAGGACCCTCAGCCGTAATTCGCACATCCTAAACCCTCCTTGCTTTAAACACCGTGACCCAAGCCCGAAACCCTAAGACCTGGTCCCAAACCCTACACGCAGTACCAAAGCCCACTGCTTAGTTGCTGGATCTCCAGGTTCATGCCAGACTCGGAGCATCCGCCTTAGCGCAGAGGGGGGAAACTTCCCGGCCTTGTCTTCAGAGGAACAGCAAGACGAAGAGCCATAATGAGAATGTGGGGCATGGGCGTAAGACTAGTGTGGTGATGGCAAGCAGTCATGGTGCTGATAGTGGTACTCACAAGACTGGTGGGTGGTAGACATTAGCAGCGAACTCGCGGTAGACGGGTCCAAGAGCCACCGGCAGAGGGCTTAGGACCAGGATTGTGCTGCATAATGTGGTTTCGGATGCAGAGCACAATGCTGCTTGACTAGAACCAGCTTTCCTGCACATGGTAGGGACCGTTCCAGAGCAAGTTGCGACACCTCCTGCAGAAGCCGTGCGACAGTGTGTTCTGGTGCGTTGTTGGCTAGAAGCCCTAAGCCCGAAAACTTAAGAAGCCTGAGCCTTAGATCCTAAGACCCCCGAAATTCTTGAACCAAACCCTACACCCAGCCCCTTTTGGTCCTAAGCCCAAGAGCCAACATGGTCTAACGTCAAGGTTTTGCCGGAGATGTGGCACGAAGCGGGACAAGACCTCAGAGTCTTAGAGTCAGCTACCAGGGCTATGATACGGGTTACGATCATCGATAGTCAAGGGGTACTACAAGGGCTACCACCATGAAGGGTTACTAAAGTTGAAGGGATAAGTCATACGAGCACGGATTATTACAATCAAGGCCACCAGGTCAAACTTCACGGAGGGACCGGTGTGAACCAGTGTGCATCGAAGGTTTCTTGGCAAAACTGAGGACATGGTGCCAGTGGTGCAAGCGGACAGGCTGGCAGCTTGTTCTGCAGATAAGATGGCAGAGTGGTGATGGGCGATGCTGTCTCCCCGCACCCAGTCGTCTGAGCGAGAGAGGTGCAGCATGCCCTCTGTCTCACCCCCTCTGTCTTTCCCCCACTTTCTCAAAGTGCTTGCTCGACGTTCTCAAGAACTGGTTCAACGTTGATTCCTCGCAATTCACGACAGGGTAAGGGCAGAGTTCCGAAGGGCCCTCGAATGTCGATCTGAAAGCCGGGAGGTTTGGCTTCGCGAATGTGCCAGGGGACGATGGCAGGTGCGCGTGCCGAAGTCCGAAGAATCCTTGACATGATTTGGCACTCCCTTCGCTGAGATTCGCATAGAGGTGTCGACATGGCCGGAGTGATGCACCGAATAAGACGCTAACCACATGGCAAACAGGCGAGCTCCATCGGGTTTCCGCTGGTGCAGGTCGCTGCAAATCACTTGGATTGATCCCGATGGCCTTCTCGCCAAGCCCGGGGCTCTCAGCCCGGAAGTCTTGTCGACGTCCCTGTATATCTTGTTATATGATCGTCATTTTTCTTTTATGATAGTATATGATAGAAGTTAGATATAAGGTAGTATATCTTATTGTATGATCGTATATGACCGTCTATGATCTGATATTATATTATATGATTTTCATGCGTCTCGTGCCCTCTCAGAATGTGGCGGTCAGCGGGCTTTCTTGGCAGCGTATCGTTGTGCCCTGAACATGGCCCCCGAGCACAGCATACGTCTGCGCATGCATGCAGGACCGCATCATATTGTATTATATCATATTGTCCCATACTATACTATATTCCAGTACATTTCATTGTATCATATTATACTTTAATCATATTATAGTACATTATATTGTATTGTCTTATACTATACTATCCGGTCTCCTTGAAAGCCACGAAGAATCCATTCCAGGGCTGCCACCCCGAAGTGGAAGCAGCCGAGTTGCTCTCCAAATCTTCGCATGCAGTTAGGGTTTCAGGGTTTAGGGCTT